TTCGTTATCCCTGCCGCTTCTACCAGAGAATGTGGAACAGTTTGTGGGTGGCAGGCTAGTATTTTGTTGAGCTGGGGGTCAGAGTCCAAGTCTATTAAGTTTTGTACAAAAAAGTTTTGTTAGCGTCCAGAAAGTCAATCTTGTCCTGTCATCTTGGCCTGAGGCTCTTCACTCTTAGAGGCAGCAGCTGCTGGGATCTCTGGGAGAGTCCTTACAGTCTTTGTTGGTCGGCCATCAAGTTGAGAGTGGTGGTGGCAGGCTGGGTTCACTTGTTCAGGTTCCCTGCAGGCATCCTGGGGTTTAAGGGGTGCTCTCTCTACCAGCCAGGACTCTTGCTCTCCTTCCACAGCCACGTGATTGGTGTGACAGTCACTGGACTTCTCTGGGAGTGGCTCGGTAGTTTCCTTTTTGTACTCCTTGTACCTAGAATAATGGATATGGATGATAAAGATCAGGAATATGACGTGACGACTCTTTAAAGTGATGCACCCACATCCAGCAGGCAGAGCCGGATGACAAAGAACACCTACCTCCAACTCCTCTTTGCTTCTCCCGGATTCCAGCAGCCAGGATTCCCAGGGGTAGGCATGGGCGGAACAAAGGTAGAGTGAGTAGGGTTAATGATGCACTTTAGGTCTCTTACAGCCAGCCTAAACTTCTACCTGCTTCCACTGCTCATAATTAAAACATCGTGTTTTGATGTGAGGTACCCTTCTGCAGAACTGCCACAATTACAGCTCAGACTGACTCTCAGAAGTGTGTGCTGCACTGAAAGCTGAGCCTGTCTTGTTAAGTGTTTCCTTAGAGTCCATGCCATCTTTCAACAGTCCCTGCTGCCTGGGCAGCACAAACATGATGCACATTCCCCGAGGTTCCTTGCCCTGAACACCCACATGGCTCACGTGGTCTTGTGCAAATGCTGCCATGACGTTTGTCCCACAGAGGCTGACTTGATCATCTGTCAAGTGCCAGTTCACTCAGCCCAAAGTGACAATATGTTGGCTACTGCCTGTATCGTCGTGAAAATACAAGAAGGTGCATTTGGGAGGATGTTGCAAGGCAAGCACCACAGGTTTAAGCCATTTTCTCAGGGGCCGCACAGCTGTGGCCGTCCATTAGTGCAGAGGACAGCTGGATGACTGAAGCTCGGGCCTGCTGCAGCACACGCCTGATGCAGCACACGCCTGACGCAGGAGAATTGGCTTGTAAATGTCACAATTCCCTGGAAAGATACCTCCCATTTGAGTAAAAGATCTGATGAAGAGGTTGGGAGCGGGTATCTGGCCTTAAGTGGGTTGATCCATCTTTGAACCAGGCCCAGACATCTTCAGGAACCAAAAGCCTCAAGGAAGGAGAAGGCAGTGGTGTAAAGATCACTCTACTAATGAGGCGCTTGTAGCAATAGTACAGTGATCTTCTGCTGCATAATTTCTGCAAGCACTCCTGTTTCCACAGCTCCTTCAGCAGGACAGTGATCGACCACGTCTCCTGTCCTGGCATCCTATACTGCTTTCCTGACAGCACACAGCTGAGCTGGGGAAGCCATGTGGGCTCCCAGCAGTGCACTCACTCCTCCATCACTGTTCTGATTGTGGCGTCCTCTCACTGGAAACATCCCTGACAACCTGAAGAAGTATGAAGCAGCCTCAACACATCTGGCCCCACAGTTGTAAGCATGGGGGTATGAGGAATTCCATCAAATCAAACAGAAGACACATTAGCTTCAAGGACTTCAGTAGTGTGACCATAGTCAGCTGAGTGAACCAAAATGGCAACACTGTAACCTGGAAAGGTCTTAGCAGTAGTGAGGCACCACCAATAGCCCAGGGGGACGCCACAGGTCTGACGCAGCCTTTTCCTTTTTGTACCATAAAACAAATGGGCCAGTTTGGAGCAGGAGTTAACAGTTTGTTTTTATTCTTTAAATCAGGAACACAGAATTCTTTACCTTGCAAAAGACAGCTCTTTTTCTTTGACTGACAGAGGACTAAGCGTTGTGAACTGATCCCATTGTTTCAAGAAATGTTCCTTGACAAGCAGGCATCTGAATTCTGTTGGGGCTTATCAGTCGTTCCACCAGGTGGGCAGCCACAGCCATTGAGACTGGGAACTTGCCAACAACCAAGACATTATTTATACAGTGAAAACTGGGTACCAGAGAAAATTCCTAACCCTTTGTGAACATGTATGGTTTAAACATGTTACATATTTCAACACCAGTTACACATTCTTGCAATTAATTGGGCCAAGCCTCATGCGCAAGTTTACTTTAGCGTGCTTTCCTTTCCTTTTCTTTTTTTTAAATGGAGGTACGGGGGATCAAACCCAGAACCTCATGCAGGCTAAGCATGTACTCTGCCACTAAGCTATACTCTCCCCACTAACAAGTTTACTTTTAACGGTTTTTTTTCCCTCTTCACTTCAAGTTTTGTCCAAACTCTAAGAGGATTTTTTGTTTATGTTTTAGCAAAAAGAGGTACTACATCTTATCTCCTCAGCTAGGAGTGTAGGGAGCATGGGGCAGACGGGAAGAAGCCAGCCTGCGGGGTTAGCTGGAGCTTCAGGGAAGATTCTCTCTTTCTTTCAGTTTTATAAACAGCTTTACTGAGGCATAATTTACATACAATTCACCCATTGGAAGTGTACAACTCAATGGTTTTTAGTATAGTCAGAGTGTTGTCCAACCATCACCACAAGTCAACTCTAGAACACTTTCATCACTTCAGAAAGAAACCCAATACCTTTCTGCCCTCCAGCCTCTGGCCACAGCTAATCTGTTTTTGTCTCTGTGGATTCCCCTGTTGTGAACATTTCACATAAATGGAATTATACAATATGTGTCCTTTCATGTCTGCCCTTTTCCACTGTGTTTTCAGGGTTCATTGATATTGTAGCAAGTGTCAGTACTTCATCCCTTTTTATGACAGAATAATATTCCATTGTATAGATAGACCACATTTGTTTATTACAGTTACAGTTTATGGACATTTGGGTTGTTTTCACCTTTTGGCTATTGTGAATAGCTCTGTTATGAACATTCATGTCCAACTTTTTGTTTGAGTACCAGTTTTCAATGCTGTGAGATAGGAGTGCAGTTGCTCAGTCTTATGGTAATATTATGTTGAACTTCTGGAGAAACTACCAGGCTATTGTCCAAATTGGCTGCACCATTTTACATTCCCATCAGCAGTGTACAGGTGTTCCACTTTCTCCACATCCCCATCAACACTTGTAATTAGCATACTTTTTTATTCTGGTCGATGTGAAGTATCTCATGGTTTTGATTTGCATTTCCCTGATGACTAATGATGTGAAGCATCATTTCATGTGCTTATTGACAATTTTTGTATCTTGTTTTGTGTGTATGTGAGATCAAAGTTCTTCATATATTCTAGATAGTAGACTCTTATTTATATGATTTGCAAATATTTTCTCCCATTCTGTGTTGTCTTTTCATTTTTTGATAATGTCATTTGATGTACAAAATTTTTTAATTCTTATAAAGTCAAATTGATCTATTTTTTTCTTTGTTGCTTGTGCTTTTGGTGTCATCTAATAATCCATTGTGCAAACCAAGGTTATGAAATTTACTACTATGTTTTCTTCTAAGGTTTTTATTTTTTAGGTCTTACATTTAGGTCTTTGATACATTTTGAGTTAAATATTTGTATATGGTGTAGGGTGGAGGTCCAGCTTCATTCTATTGCATGTGGATATACAGTGGTCCAATCACCAGTTGTTGAAAAGATTCTTTCCCCATTCAGTAGTCTCAGCACCCTTGTTGATAATAAATTGACCATAGATATGTAGGTACATCTCTGGGCTCTCAATTCTATCCCAATGATTTATATATCTATCCTTGTGACAGTACAGAACTGTCTGGATTACCATTGCTTTGTATACATTTTGAAATCAAGAAGTGTGTTTGTTTTTCAAGGTTATTCTGGCTATTCACTGAGTCCACAAATTGGCTTTCACCACAATCTCTACAAGTACACAATTTTTACAAGTACCTTTAGACTTGAACTTCTCCATATTCTGTTGCACATGAAATCAGTCATCCATGGATGACTCCCACCTGAATCAGCCACTATGATGTTCACCCAAGGGTGACTTTCTAATTTCATCATTCATTCGACATTTACTAGTTAGTTTTCTACTTAAGTGAGAGTTTTTCTTTCTTCCTCCATCTATTTTTATCAGTGTGAACTCAGATTCTTATATTATTCAAAGGATTATAATCTTTTACTCTGATTTTGATGCACAAATTGTCCCAGATTTGGCCAATGGGAACCCATTCAGACTGGACATTTCCTTACTTTATGGCTCAAAAAGATGGTCTGGTTTATCTCATACTTTCTGTGCCCCAGCTCTGGAACCAGCCATTTCTCCCAGGGGGGTCCTGGTTACCTTTAGTGAAGGATAGTATTTGAGAACCAATATCTGGGTGCTAGATGTGCTTACAGCTACCAGAGTATGACTCCTTCTAGACTTAGTGGACAGAGGGAGGAAATGTATGTATGTACACGTGCACATGTGCACGTGCACATGCGCATACACACACCCCTATATCTTTTTTGAAAAAAGTTCATCTTAATACTTCCAATTTCAATCTAACACCATGTTCATTTTATCCTCCCCCCTTTTCATGTTTGTAAGTCATATCTCAGACACTGAGAAACCTAGCTTGCACTTTACTCAATATATTTATTTGCTCAGTTTACTTATTTGTTTAATGTAACTGATTGCTGGCAGCCTCCTCACCCTGAGAGCACAACCCAACTTTAACTAGATCTCTGCCACATGCCTATTTTACAAATTACAGCTCAGATTATCAGGTTAGAAAAAGAATTTCAAATTGCCCTAAGTCTACCAATGTAAATAGCTTGGAAGGGACATGTGCTGAAGGTTGGCCTGTAAAAATATTCAAATCATTTTATTCCCCTCAGAGTTTCTTTTTAATCACTCTTCTTATTTCACAAAGTAAGTACCATATCTGCTAGTTCCTTATTTAATACTTACAACATTTTATTTTGCAGTAATTATAGACTTGAAGGAAGTTGCAAAAATAGTACAATGAGTCCAATGTATCCTTCACCCAGTTTCCACATGGTAAGATCTTTCACATAATTATAGTACAAGTTCAAAACAACATGTTGACAATGGTACAGTACTGCTAACTAGACTACAGACCTTATTTGGTTTCACCAGACTTTACATGCATTCATTTGGGGGTGTGTAGGCCTATGCAGTTGCAGCACAGATCTAGGTTCATGTAATTGATACCACAATCAAGATACAAAACTGTTCCATCAGCACAAAGGAACTCTTTGTATTATCCCCTTATAGTCATCCATATCCCATACCGCCTCCAGTCCCTATCCCTGGCAACATTCATCAATTCTTCCTTCCTATAATTTTGTCATTTTAAGAATGTTATACAAATGCAGTCATACAGGATGTGACCTTTTGAGACTGGCTCTTTTTCATTCATCACAATAACCTTGAGGTCCATCCAAGTTGTGTGTATCAATAGACTGTTCCTTTTCTTTGCAGAGTAGTATTCCATGGTGTGGATGGTTGGTTTAACCACTCACTCAATTGCACGACATCTGGGTTGTTTCCAGTTTTTGGCTATTATAAACAAAGCTGCTAAGAATGGCTATACACAAGTTTTTGTGCTAACATAGATTTTCATTTCTTTGGGATAAATGTCCAGGAGTACAGTTGCTGGGTAATAAAATACATGTATCTTTAACTTTATTAGAAATTTCCAAACTCTCTTTCAGAATGGCTTACCATTTTATATTCCTGTCAGTAATGTGTGAGAGATCCACTTTGTATGTTCAACAGCATCTGGTATTTTCACTATTTTTTCTTTAGTCAGAATTCATTGTGGTTTTAATTTGCATTCCCCGATGACTAATGAAGTTCAACATCTTTTCATGTGCTTACTTGCCATCATAGGTCTTCTTCAGTGATATGTCTATTCATGTCTTCTGTTCATTTTCTAATTGGATTGTTTGTAGTTTTACTCTTGACTTCATACATTCTAGATTGATATAGATAAATGGTTTGCAAATAATTTCTCTCAGTAATTTCCTCCTCTTAAATTTTTTTGCAGAGCAAAAGGTTTTCATTTTCATGAAGTCCAAAATATCAACATTTTCCTTTTTGGATTGTGCTTTTGGGGTGAAGGCCAAGAACCTGTTGTACAGCCCAAGGTCCTGAAGATTTTTCTATGATTTTTTTTCTAAAAGTTTTATAGATTTACATTTACATCTAAGTTCATGATACATTTCAAGTTAATTTTTGTATAAGGTGTACAGTTTAGGTCAAAGTTCTTTTTTTTTGCCAATTGCTCCAGCATCATTTGTTGAAAAGACTATCATTCCTTTATTAAATTGCTTTTGTACGTTTGTCAAAATCACTTGGGCATATACCATACTGTATTGATTACTGTAGCTTTATTTGAAGTTAGGTAATGTGAGTCCTCCAAATTTTTCTTCTTCAAAATCAATTTAGCTTCATTAATTTTACATCTGGGTATTTTCATCTTTCCTATAGGGAAAGAAAAGAATAGAGAAAAAATGTGGCTGTGGGATTAGGGAAAATACATTTACACTGCCTATGCCCTAGGGGTGTTCATGAAGATTTCTGGGTTCCACTCCCAGAGATGAAGTTTGATCTCCAAATGATTATGGTGCAGGTGGCTCTGGACTACACTTTGAAATGTGAAAAACAATAATCTAGGGAGAAACAAGAAGAAAAGACAAAAAATCAACCCCTTGTCACTGTTGTTGAGATTGGGGCTTGCTTTGTTTTCTTTCTTTCACATTCCTCCAATTCCCACTTTAATTTCCAGTATATAATAGGCTTGACTCATAGATTTAACCCTTGACAGGTATCTCAGAAGATATATTTTAGACATCAAGAAGGGAGACATAAGGTAGACTCCTCTCAGTGGGGACAAAGAATAGAGGAGGGTGCTGATGCGTCACCTTCACTTCCTTCCACTCACTCGTCCAACATAAGCATCACAACTACAAAATTGAAACACGAAATACTCTTTTTCCTTTAGCTTGTTGTAGGGAGGTGAGTGTTTCTGAAAGTGAAAATAAAGACTTCCAAGTAAAACAAGGGAAAAATAAACATTTGAAATATATTCCCTGGGATTTTACTACAGGATGTCCTTGCCAATGTACCTTCCATAGCCTTTAAAAATCTTTCATATTCTACTTAAATCATCTTGCATATGCTTTTTGTAAGCCAGTGACAGGTAGGAGGGTTCATTAGGCCCTAATGAAACTTTCAGGAAGACATCTTATGTTTATTTCTTGCATGCATAAAACTCATCTGTGGGGATATAAAAAGAGCTGCCCCACTGTCTGCTTTCACATGCTTTGTGTGATTTTCAGACCATGTTTAGCACACTAATTGGAAAAAAAAAGGTTATTACCTCATTTTGTCTCCTGCTTTATTCTAGAGAAGAAAGTTCTTGCAAAAGCTCTTCCTTTTCTTGTTGCAACTCCTGCAGATGCTGCTGGTTTTGCTCCAGTCTGTCCTCCAACCACTGTAGTAGAGGCCCGCTAACTGCTGACATCTGACTGCACAGGTTCTTGGTAAACACTTTAATAGGAAAAACACAGAGGTAACACCCCACCACCAGCAGCCCCCCAACAGTGAGTCAGGAAGAAAGGGAAGGAAGAGAAAGTAGAAAAAGTGCAATAAGCAAACTTGGCAGACAATTTTGTATGGTCAGCCAAGGGACAGTCGGAAGAGCTGAGAAAAGAAGATACCTCTTCTGAGGCCATCCTGAACATCTCCGGATCCTTAAGCCAGAGGTGGCCTGGCTACACAGAGAGCAGAAAAGAACCCGCTTTTTCCTCCCTTAGTCAAAACGGCTAAGAGCAACAGAAGGGTCTCTTTCCCCAGGTCTCAGACCTTCCCACACCATAATGACCGTAACTTCCCAGCAAGCTAGAACTCTGTCTTCTGCAACTTAATCTTACACAAGTCCAGAAAGAAAGTTGTTCACCAAATGTTACATACACTGAAGAAATAAGTACATTAATTCAGCTTCACGTGAGACAGAGATTCTATGGCACTCTTTTTAAAACAAATTCCACCTAATGGAAGTAAATTTTTTCCTTATCATATATGACTTGTTGCAAATGACCACTGTAATACTATGGGGTGTATCTGCCAAGATATATGTATATGTGTGTGTACATGTGTGTGTGTATACTTTTGAATAAAAACTGTATGGTTTTGGATGTTACTTTTACCCCACATAACAATAAGCCATAGACATCTCCCTTTGTCAGTAAAGACTCACCTTTCCTTATTATAGGCTGTACAATATTCATCAGAATGGATGTACCAATTTAATAAGTCTTCTATTGGTGGACATTTCAGTGGCGTCCAATTTTTTGCTACTGTAAAGACTGGAATTAATATCCCCTTATTTTTGCACACTTGTCCTATTCTGAAGGATACATTTTTAGAAGTGAAGCTCAACTTTTTTCTGTAGGGATCTATAAAGTCTTTAATTCTTATTTAGTTGGTCTTTTGAGTTCAGGGCTTCAGATTATACTTAAGCCATCACCTCCCTAGACTTTGAAAAACATCCTCTTATATTTCCTTCCTGTATTTCTTTAACTTTTAAAAGTGATTTAGTGTGTATACTGTATTGGGCTTTCTGCTCCTTGGCCTTGTATAAAAAGTACTTGTATATTTACTGACATGAAAGATTTCCTCCTTCATGCTCTCCCTTTTATCTGTCTGTCTGTGTATCCATCTCTGTCAACTCCCACCACAGTAGGCTCATTGTTGAAATTTCAGGAAGTTTGGAAACTGGTATGTAGTTGTCTGTACATATAAGGCATGTAAGTTGTCTGAAATCAGCCATGGTAGGGGTATCACGTTGGAAACTGGCAAATACAACAAATTAGGATTCTTCCAGCATCCCTGAGAACTGAGAAGCCCTATCATAAAGCTCGCTCCTGCCTTTCCTCCAGTCTTACTCTAGGTAGCAGGTAGAGTACTCAGTTGTCTACAGCATTCAATAGAAAAGTTTGGAGTGGGATTAATGAATGGCAAAGCTCCTGGAAAAGAAAACTCAAGGATAATTTGTACTCATCATTTCAATCACTTCAGCAAAATTTGCCTGTCACATGATTATTTCACCACCCATACTCAAGAAAAATATCTTACCTGAGCCATTATGAATCTTGGTTACCGAGTCCAGATGCGTAAGGCTAAAGGGATAAAATAGTTTCGATTAGTAGCAAAGCAGCAATTCATCTAATCTAGGCGGCAGAGGCCCTGGGCAGTGAAACGAGAAGGACGGGCTTGACCTGTGGATCCGCCTGTATGCATCCTGCTCCTCTTGGCACAAGATCTTGGGTAGCTCAACTGCTGATTCAAGGCACACTTTTCCAATGGTTACATGAGGTACAATGTGAATTGGGATTTCAATCCTCTCATACCTGTAAGACAGTCAATTCAGGTCAGTTTTTGTTTGTTTGATTCCAGCTTTATTGAGGTATAATTGACAAATAGGAATTATACGTACTTATTTAAGGTGTACACATTGATACTACACATTGTGAGACATACACATTGTGAAATGATTATGGCACTCAAGCTAATTAACATATCCATCACCTCACATAATTACCATTTTTTAGTGGTGACTTAACATTTACGATCTACCTTAACAAATTTGAACTATATAATCACCATGTCTAGAATCACTTGATCTCTAGAACTCATTCATCCTGAAACTTTGTATTCCTAGACCAGCACTTCCTCAGCTTCCCCTCTACCACCTCTGCCCCAGCAACCACCGTTCTACCCTTTGCTTCTATGAGTTGGACTATGTTAGACTCCACATATAAGTGAGAGCATGCAGCGTTTGTCATTCTGTGTCTGGCTTATTTCATTTAGTATAATATCCTCCAAGTTCAGCCATGTTGTTACAAATGGTGTGTGTGTGTATGTATGTATATGTATATGTGTGTGTATACATATATGCATACATATACACATACCACATTTTCTCTTCCACTCATCTACTAACAGACATTTAGGTTGTTTTCATACCTTGTCTATTGGGAATAATGCTTCAGTGAACATGGGAGTTTAGGTATCATTTTGAGATGCTTTGTATCACTTCCTTTGGATATATACAAAGAAGTGGATCCATTTTTAATGCTGAGTCGTCAAAATCAGATGTTTTCCATGGTTTATTTAATAGACATTTGGGGACACAGCATACTTCAAAGATTAAACATCCCCCTAATTCATTTAGTAGCTCGATTTCAAAGTAGACAGAGTTCAAACTGAATTCATCTGGGGAGCAAATTGGAAGCACATTTGCAGAGCCAACATTCTCATAGAAATTCTGAAGTCACTTTGTAAACTTAACAGAAGCCTTAGAGGCTCAAAGTCATTACACTCACTCCCCAGACAAGGGACAGATCACTAATTAATACTGTTTTCAGTCAGGGATTTGCCAGTGAGGTTGAACACATTGATCAGGAAGCCTGGGAAGAGGAACTTTAGACTCTTCAATGACTCCATCAGATTCACCATGTAGAAGGGATTACTCATATAAATACACTCTTGTTCTAACACAGTGTTCACCAGTTGCCCTCACTTACCATTTTCTCCCCTGGAGGAAAAATAGGTAAGTAATACACAAATAGTTCCATTTTCATGCTAGAATGGGCTTGTTACCAAGGCCAACCAATCTACCTCTAGTTACTTCTCACCCCAAACACACCTAAACTCCACCTAACAGTGGGTTCAGTGGAGCATCTGGGTTGAGGGTCCTAGCACTGTGTGGCCTCGTTGGCACATGGTGGTACATCAGTATAAAATCTAGCTCCCTCCCCTCTCTTTCCCACCCAGCAGAATGTGTCTGGGCCCCACACCACAATCTAGATAGAACAAAAATGATGGAGGATTACAAGTGCCCTCCCCTCCTCACATCCAACTAGTCAGGGAGAAATTCATGGAGTATGCTGTGTGTGGGTTGAACACACTACTTTGAGTATATACTTTCAGGAAGAAGACAAAAAGGACTTTAAACAAATTTTGACCTCCAATTAGTAGGTTTGTACATTACTCAGTTTAGGCTGCTATAACAAAAATACCAGAGACTGGGTGGCTTCAACAACAGGAATTCATTTCTCATAGTCCTGGAGGCTAGGGAGCCCAAGATCAAGGTGCCAGCTGATCTGGCTCTTGGTGAAGGCCCTCTTCCTGGTCTGCAGACAAATACCTTCTTGTGTCCTCACCTGGTGAAGAGAGTGATCATCTCTCTTGTGTCTCTTCTTACAAGGGCACTAATCCCATTCATGAGGGTTCTACCCTCACACCTAATTATCTTCTAAATGCTCCACCTCCAAATACCACCATATGAATTTGGGGGTGGTAGGGGGACACAATCAGTCCATAGCAGTTTGTTTTTCATAGTGGTATAGATTAGCAATTCTGAAACTACTTTCTGTACATTCTTGGATTGAGCAATAAGTAAACATATTATGGATAGTAGGACTAAGTTTCTCCATGTCAGAGAAGAGAATTGTAAATATGGAAAGAGAGAATGCTAGAATGAACCCTAAGGTGTGCGAATGGATTGGATTATCGGTTTGAACTCATGGTGTGTGTGTGTGTGTGTGTGTGTGTGTGTGTGTGTGTCTGTGTACGTACATACCTGCATGTACACACATACATACTTTTTTTGCCAGCTCCATCTACTGAGAGTCTAGAAGCTACTAGAGTAGTAGCTTCTACTCTAGTAATAATGGGTATACCTAGCACCCAGACCTTGGTTTCTAAATAGCATTTTTAACTTGAAGGAACCACAGTACAGGCTAGAATGAAGGGATGAGGACCAGACTTACCTCCTTCTTGAAACAACTAAAAAAGTATTTTTTAAAAAGTGAAACAGTGACTCACAAGATCTTGGAAACAAGGCAGTGAAGGACAGTGAAACCTGGGGGATTAGAAACAAGCTTGTTTCTTCATGAAGAAAGTTTCCAGGCTACAGCACAGGGAGGGGAACCCCACCTAGAGCTTGATGGTCTCCTTGAGTCGAAAAGATAGAGCCAAGGCTCTGGGAAAGCCAAGGAGGCTTGAATTTGCAGTGCAAAGGACTATGCAAAGAGAAAGAACTCCAGAGATCTTTGGATGGTCCCGTTCAAGTGCTCAGTTGAGTAGCAACCAGGGCATATATGTAAAGAAACTACACAAGGCCACAGAGATAACAACCTAGAAGGAATAAAGGGATAAAGGGAATAAGTACTATCCTCAAAGTATACCGAGGGCCAGGAACAGTGCCTGTTCCCAAGAGCCTTAATAGGAAATCTCATAATTCAGGAGATGACAGAGTATTAAAAAGGTTTGTGCCTATGAGCAGGGAAAATGAACCTTACATTAAATACTGCTTTGTTTTTGCCTGATAAAGCTTAAAAGCAAGACCCAAAAGGATCAAACCATTTCCTATTAACAGCATCTCAAAACAAAGCTCAAGAATATTTACAGGAATATCTAACACCCAAAAATGTAAAATTCAGAATGTCTGCATCCAATCAAAAATTGCCAGGCATGCAAAGCAGCAGAAAAATCCAACCCCTGAGAGAAAAATCTAATGAAATTGACCCATAAATGCAACAGTAATTAGCAAAGACCTTAAAACAGATATTATAACTATTCTGTATATTCAAAAAGCTAGATGAAAGACTGAACATGTTAAGTAGACAGAAAGAAAAAAAGACTCAAATCAGACTTTAAAACATGCTTGAGATAAAAAGTAACACTGGATAGGATTAACAGAAAATTAAACATTACAGAAAAAGGATTAGTGAACCTCAAGGAACAACAATAGATCACAAATAGGAAAAAAAAAAGACTGAAAAACAATGAACAGAGCATCAGTGAACTGTGAGACAGTATTAAGTAGCCTAAATATGTGTAATTGAAATATCCAAAAACACCAGACTTGCAGACTTAGTAAACAATCTTCTGGTTACCGGAGAAAGAGGTGGGAAGGGATAAACCTGGGAGTTTGAGATTTACAAATGTTAGCCACTATATATAAAAACAGATTTTTTAAAAGTTTCTTTTGTATAGCACAGGGAACTATGTTCAATATCTTATAATCACCTTTAATGAAAAAATATGAAAACGAATATATGTATGTATATGAATGACTGGGACATTGTGCTGTACACCAGAAATTAACACATTATAACTGACTGTACTTCAATTAAAAAATAGTAATAATTTTAAAACTTTAAAATACAAATACCCAAAGAAGAGAGAATGAAAGAGAAAAAATTTTGTAGAAATAATGGCTGAGATTTTTCTGAATTTGATGAAAAATGTAAACCCACAGGTCTAGGAAGCTCAATGAAACCCAAGCACAGGATACATGAAAACAATTATACCATGGTACCCTATAATCAAATAGTTTTAAACCAATGATAAAGAGAGTCTTAAAAGAAGTCAAAAAAAGCTAAATTAAGTAAATAGGAAAGGGTAAAGATGATTGCCACTTTCTTGTTGGACAGTGGAGAAATATCTTTATAGTTCTAAAAGACAAAAAGGTCAACCTAGAGTTCTTTACCCATTAAAAATACATTTTAAAACTGGAATTGAAAAGATAACCGACTGTTTATAAAATAAAACTAATAACAACATATTATGGGCTTATAGCACACATACAAGTAAAATGTATGACAGCAGTAGCACAAAAACCAGGAGAGAAATGAAGTATAGTGTTGTAAGGTGCTTAATACCACATGTGAACTATCACCTGAAGGCAGACTGTGACAAGTAAAAAGAAATGTAAACCAATATTTCTCTACCAGGGGTGATTTTGCCCTGCAGTGAATATTTGGCATGGTCTGGAGACATTTCTGACTATTACAACTGAGGAAGTGCTACTGGCATCTAGTGGGTGGAGGCCACTGATGTTGCTCAAAATCCTACAATGCATAGAATTTCTTGCCACTATAGTTATCTGGCCCATGGTGTCAATAGTGACAATGTTGAGAAACCCTGCTATATACCCTAAAACAACCACTAAAGTAATATAACAAAAAATTATCACTAATAAACCCACAAAGGAGATGAAATTAAATCATAAAAATTATCCAATTAATCCAAAAGGAGGCAGAAGAAAGAGGAAAAAGTAAACAGAAATTAGATGAGCCAAATATAGAAAACAAATAGCAAGTTGGTAGATTTAAACCTAACCTCATTAGTAATCATATTAAATGTAAAGAATCCAAATATGTCAATTAAATGGCAGAGATTGTCAGATTAGATAATTCCTAGACCCAACTATATGCTAACTACAAAAAAATCACCCTTTAAATTTAAAAACACAAATAGGTTAAAAATAAAGATACAACATGTTAACAAAACTCAAAAGAGATTAAGTATGGCTATACCAATATCAAAGTTGATTTCAGAGCAAAGAATATTAACAGGGATGAAGAAGGTAATTTTGTAATGATAACATGGTTAATTCATAAAAAATACAAGACAGTCCCAAACATGTACACATATAATAACAGCTTCAGAAGATATTGATAAAAACAGAAGAACTATGAGGAAAATAGACAAATGAACAATTTTGGTTGGAGATGTCAATACCCTTCTCTCAAAAATTGATAGAACAGTGGACACAAGTACCACCTGACCTATAGAAGAGTCTCCTTATTCCTAATCACTGATTTTTTTTTCAAGATTCAGGCCAGTTGTAGTACAGAATATGCCACATTTTGGATTTGTTTGATTATTTTCTCATTATTACACCCAGGTTTGGCAAGAGTACTACATAGGGTTTGTTGTACATAGGTGTTGTTGCATATATGAAGTTTTAAAAACTCATTCTTATAGAAAATCTTACTAAATACATAAACAAAAATATAAAGCATGAGGTTAAAAAAATTCTAGCTTGGTTTAAAATCAAATTTCCACTTTCCTTTCTTTTTCCTTGTGATTAAGAAATGAGTACAATCAGAGGGGAGGGTATAGCTCATTGGTAGAGTGCATGATTAGCATGCATGAGATCGTGGGTTTGATCCCCAGTACCTCCATTAAATAAATAATAGTAAACCTAATTACCTCCCCCCACAAAATAAAACAAAAACAGAAATGAGTACAATATTCATTTGTACCCATGTATTTGCTGGCATTCTGTCACCTGTGTATGCATTGTATTTTAACAAAAAATATCTGAAGGCCAAAGCTTTTCTCTTCCTTTATTTTTCCCAAAACATGTATTCCAGTCCTCTTATGTCTTATTACCACAGAGTAAATTATATTTAAAGAAGGGGAGGGGGAATCAGTATTGGAAATATTTAAGGGATGAATTGGATAGGGAAAATCAGCACTGGAAATTGAGAGAAAAAGGCAATTACTAGCTTAGGTGGCCTCTGGAGAAATTATTGCTATATAACCTCAGACTGCACACCAGCTATTAAGTTGAATAAATGTCTTTATTTTTATTGATTTTGCCCTTTATATCTCTAAATGAGAAACAACAAAGAGATTTTGATTACCTTTTTAAAAAAATATTGACATAATAGATATTTATAAGCACACTCCACTCAACATCAGAATGCATATCCTTTTCAAATGCACACAGAAAATTAACCTATAAAGACCATATTCTGGGTCATAAAACATTCTCAATATATGGCATATGGAACATAGTCAATAGTACTGTAATAACTCTGTATGGTGACAGATGTAACTTGACTTATTGTGGTGATCATTTTGTAAGGTATAGAATTATCAGATCACTACGATGTGCACCTGGAACTAACATAGTGTGGTAGAACAATTATATATAATTTTAAAAATTAAATATAAAATATGTGTAAACAAAACATTCTTAATAATTTTAATAGGATTCAAGTCACAAAAAGTATTTTTCTGACCACAATGGAATTAAATTAAAAATCAATAACAGATATCATGAAAACCCCGCAGTATTTAGAAACTAAATAACATACTTTCAGATAACTTGTAGATCAATGAAGAGTTCAAAAGGAAAATTAGAAGAGTATTCTGAACTGAATAAAAATGAAAACACATACCAAAATTTGTGGGATACAACTAAAGCAGTACTTAGAGAAGGAAATTATATAATAGGAAAGAAGATAGGTCTCAAATAAAGGAACTCAGATTCCATCCACCTTTTAAAAACTAGAAAAAGAAGAACAAATGAAGCTCAAAGTAAGCAAAAGGAAAGAAATAACACAGATCAGAGTTGACATAAAAGCAACAGTAAACAGAAAAAAAGAAAACCAATGAAACCAAAGATAATTCTTTGAGATACTCAATAAAACTGTTACACCTCTAGCCAGATTTATCAGAAAAGAGACACAAATTACCAATATAGGGATGAGAGAGATGACATTACTATAGATTTTACAGATAATAGGTAAAGGATAAAAATATTATGAACAAATTTATGCCAATAAATTCAACTACTTGGATAAAATTAATAAGTTCCTTGAAAAACACAAATTATCAAAGCTCATTCAAGAAGAAATAGATACCATGAATAGCCCTATACTATTAAATAAATCAAACTGGGAGGTAAAAAATGTTCCCACAAAGAAGTCTCCAGGCCCAAAAAGCTTGACTAGTGAATTCTACCAAGTACTTAAGGAAGAAAGAATATCAATTGTACACAAACTCTCCAATTAAACTGAGAAGAATGCTATACTATCCAACTCATTTTCTGAAGCCAACATTTCTCTGATACCAAAGCCAGAGAAAGACCTTACAAAAAAGAAAACCATAAACTAATATCCCTTATGTTCATAGATGCAAAAATTATTAACAAATTTTTAGCAAATCAAATCCAGCAAAACGGAAAATGAATAATTCATCTTTGTTGATGGGGTTTATTCAAGGAATGCATGGTTGGTTTAGTAATAAAAATCAATCACTGTAACTTATCAATGTTAACAGACTAAAAAAGAAAAAGAACTATATGATCATCTAAATAGACACAGAATGAGCGTTTGATAAAATAAAACATATATTATTGATGAAAAAGGAAACTCTCAGCAAATAAGGAATAGAAGGAAACTTCTTCAAAGTGATAAGAGAATCTATGAAAAATCTTCAGGTAACATCATACTTAATGGTGAAAGTTTGAATGTTTTCTCCAAAGATCAGGAACAAGGCTAGCATGACTGTTCTCACTGTCATGAAATTGTATTCAGCAGTTTATTAGAGGTTTCAATGAGTGCTGTAAGGTGAGAAAAATAAACATAAGCATCCAGACTGGAAAGAAAGAAGTAACAGTGCCTTTATTCACAGATGATGATCTATATAGATAACCCAATGGACTCTTCAAAAAACCTAGTAAAATTAACAAGTGAATCTAGCAAAGTTGTAGGATACAAACTCAATATACAAAATCAAATGTGCTTTTGTATAGTAGCAATGGAAATAGTAGTAGGAAACTGAAATTAAAACAACAGTATTTACAACAGGATAAAAATATGAAATGTTTCGGGATAAGTCTGACAAAGGATATGCAAGACCTGTATACTGAAAACTACAAACCATTGTGGAGAGAATTAAAGACCTAAATAAATGGAGAGATATACCATGTTCATGGAATGGAAGACTCAATATCATTGAGATGTCAGTTTTCCTCAAAATGATCCACAGAGTCTATAATCCCAATCAAAAATCCCAGCAGGCTGTTTTGGAAAACAGCCTAGTAATTTCTTAGAAAGTTAAATACACCTACCATATGATTCAGCCAGTCTGTTGATAGATATTTCCCCAGGGGAAGAGAGAGTGTATATCCATATAAAGACTTGTACACAAATGTTCAAAGCAGCATTATTTGTAATAGACAAAAACTGCAAGTAACTCCAAACATCTATCAGCAGGTGAATGGGTAAACAAATTGTGCTAATATTTAGACCATTTAATACTATTCTGTAATAAAAATAATGAACTATTGATACATGCTATAACATGGATGCATCTCAAAATAATTCTGTTGTATGAAATACAACATACTCTACTCTGTATTCTACACAACATATTCTATGATTTTATATACTTCTTGGACCAGAGTAAAGGGATTTTTCCTACTATAAGGGATATTATTAGGGAAACTGGTGAAATTAGAATACCATCTACAGATTAGATATAGTATTATATGAATTTTAATGTCCTGATATTGAATGTTATATAAGAGAATGTCATTTTTTTCTTTAGTAAATATCCACTGAATTGTTCAGGAAAAATTATCTATAGGTATAAAGAAAAAAAATTATAATGAAAATAAGATAAAATTCTGATATTTGGGGAATTTGGGTGAAGGGTACACAGGAATCCTTTGTACTGTTCTTGCTACTTTTCTGTAAATCTGAAATTATTTCAAAACAGAATATAATAAAACATTAAAAGTCATAACTAAAAGAATCAAAACACTAAGGACAATTTCTAAAACTGAAAAACAGGTAACAGAAAATTAGTGTAACAAATGGCAGGAGAGGTAAAAAGAAATTAAAAGTATGGCAAAAAGAAAGCATAAAAAATGGCAGGAATACTGCCACATATATCAGCAATGATAATAAAATGAATGTATTACACTCACCTATTAATAGACAGATGTTCTAATTGTTTAAAACCAAATAACTCAAGATCTTGCTATATTCTACTTAAAAGAGATATACCTGAAATAAAACAACTGAGGGAGGTTGAGAATAAAGGGACAGGAAAAGTTATAACAGGAAAAGGATATAAGAAGAACTACAACATGCAACAAACAGGCAGTGGCAGAGATTGCTAGCTGCCCTAACCCAAATGTCCTTGGTAACAGAATGTCAATCTTCAGCCAAGACAGAGCTGTCTGACAGGCCTCCCTGATAGCTTAAGTGTGGCCACGGAACTAAATTCTGCCAATGAGATGAAAATGGAATTGCTTTCTGGGGCTTCTGGGAAGGTCACTTATGAGAAATTGGCTGAGCTGGGACCAGCCATCTTTTGCCCTCCTACCTTTCCTCTTCCTTCTGGCCCTCAATGGAGATGTGCTGGCTGGAGCTCCAGAAGTCTCGTGGACCGTGAGGGGACCTTAGGATGGAAATCATACACCAAGATGGTGAAGCAGAAGATAGGTGCTTAGACCCCTGATAATATCACAGAGGCCTGGAATATCTATCTCCAGACTTCTTCCCGAGAAAGAAATAATCTTGGTTGTTTTAAACTAATTTTATTTATTATTTAATTTTTCCCTAGTATATGTAGTTGAATCTAATCCTAATAGAACAGTGATATTATTTAGAAAGAAAGAATTCAAGACATACATAAATAGGACAAAGAGAGCTATTTCATATTTTATAAAGGTAAAATAAAGCAGGACAATATAAAAGTCATGAATCTTTATGCACTAACAATACACCTTCAAAATTATAAAGCTAATACTGACTAAAATACAGGAAGTGGACAAATTTAGTTATGATGGGAGGTTTATACATATCTCTCTCAGATATGTATAATCAAAACCACAAAGAATGAGGAAGGATATAAGCTTATTCTAACAAGGATATACAGGACTTGTGCTCAAGAAACAATACACATTTTTCAATTCATAAAACATCATAAAAATTTACCATGTTTTAAATCAGGGGTCAGCAAACTTTTTATACAAAGACGAAACAGTAAATGTTTTAAGCTGTGGGGGCCACAGGGTCTCTGTCACAACCACTAAGCTGTGCAAATGGGTATGGCTATGTTCCAATAAAACTTTGATTTCCAAAATAGGCACCAGGCCCATGTGGCCTACAAGCTGTAGTTTGTGGACCTCTGATCTAGGTAACAAAAGAAATATCAAAAAATTTATATAAAGCTGATATCACACAGGCCACAGTTACCATAATATAGTGCTAAAAATGAACATAATAGCAAAAAATATGCCCCCTAAACCCAGCCCAGATATTCACATCTAAAATCTTTAAATGCACTTCTAAATAACTCTTGAGTTGAAGAGAAAAACAGAAAACACAAATGAATTGGAAGTAAAAAAACAAACAAAAAACATTGGAACTACTATACAAAACCTATGGAATGGAGCCAAAGTGAAGAGGTACATTTGTGGCCTTAAATGTATTTATTTGAAAACAAAAGAGACAGAAAGTAAACTTAGTTTTCACCTGAAGAATTTAGAATAAGGATAACAGTAAGAACAACACAGCAACAATGAAACATACAGAAAACAGAAGGAAGAAATTAATAAAGAGAAAAGCAGAAATTTTTAAAAAAGAAGAAATCTGAGATACTCAGTTGATCAAGAGAACCTAAAGCTGGTCCTTTGAAAAGACCAACAAAATAGATAGATTTTGCCAATAAAATCAAGAAAAAAGAGAAAACACAAGTTAACAGTGTTAACAATGAAAAAGGGAACATACTTAAAGAAAGACAGATCATGCAATCATCCACTCAAGAAGTATTTACTTAATGGCTACTATGTGACAGGCCCTGACACAATACCCACAGTCAATGATCTAGTGAGAGACCATAACAATAACTTCACAGTATACTTAAAATAAACATCAAATAGCTAGGAATAAATTCAACAAAAGATGCTGAATCTATACTGAAATAAAGACAAGTAAAAAATATACAATAGTGGTTGCCAGCGGATGGAGGTAGGGGAAAGGAGAGTTGTTATTCAGTTATACTAGATGAATAAGTTCTAGAGATTTGTTGTACAACATAGTGCCTATAGTTAACGACAAGGTATTGTGCATTTCAAAATGTGTTAAGAGAGTAGATCTCATGTTGTCTTCTTACCAGAAAAACAAAATTAAATGAAACAAAACAAAAACAATGAACACAAGGAAACTTTGGAGGTGTTGGATATGTCTATTACTTTGATTGTGGTGATAGTATGATGTCTATTTACATATGTCCAAATTCATCAAGTTGTATAATATGTGCATTTCTTTGTATATCAATTATGCCTTAATAAAGCTGTTAAAAAACAAACAAGAAAAAATAGCACTGTGCAGCAAAAATAAGGTCCTAAAGATTAAAGTGGTTAAGAAAAGACAACAGAACACTCAATGACTGTCATAATTTTAATTGTTCATGATTATCTCTATTATTTTATGTGTGCTGACATTCAAGCCCTATGTCTGATTTATATGTAAGTTCTAGATAATTTGTAACCCAACAGAAGACAGAAGCGAAAATTTAAAAGCAGAGTGCAAATAAAACAAGTATAATAAGGCTCAGGAATTCAAACAGTACTCCTAGTGAGGACTTTGGTGATCCTGTCAGGGTCTTCTAAAGTTAAATAGATTCAGGATTTGACATTCTTCAAAGGAGACAGAGTGAGCATTGGCCTTGGTCTTGCCCAGCAACATGGTCTTGGATAAGCCACTTTACTTCTACAGACTCAAGTTTCTGAAAGACACTCAATGAACTTTTAAAGTACTTTATGCTTGGGGGAGGGTACAGCTTAGTTAAAGAGCACGTGCTTAGCATGCACAAGGTCCTGGGTTCAATCCCCAGTACCTCTGTTAAAAATAAATAAATAAACTTAAGTACCTCCCCAAAGAAATATATATAGTTATATATACATTTACACTTCAGGCTCTGATGACTGATAATTCCATTATTCTTCTTTTCTTCCATTATGATAGCGTTTCTCCTTTATAAGATTAGCACCATTTACTCAGTGTAAAATGAGAAATACATTCTAAAACTCTGGTAGAACTAACATGGAGAATAAGTTTCCAGCTAAAAAATTTCTCCTCAAGCAATGTACTCCCAAGTAGATTTTCCAGACCTCTAATCTTTACCATCTTACAAAAATAAAATTGTTCTTCATACTTGAAATGCTTCCCTTAAAGCATTCCAAAGTTCAGAGAAAATCAGTGCTCTGTACTTCAATTAACAATAATCATCTTTGCTGTGTAGATGCTTGTAAGTTTAATTAGGTCCCATTTGTTTATTCATGCTTTTATTTCTATTGCTTGGGTAGACTGCCCTAAGAGAGCATTTTTGAGATGTATGTGAGATAATGTTTTGTCTATGTTTTCTTCTAGGCGGTTTATTGTATCTTGTCTTATGTTTAAGTCTTTGATCCATTTTCAGTTGATTTTTCTGTATGGTGTAAGGGAGTGTTATAGCTTCATTGATTTACAAGCTTCTGCACAGCAAAGGAAACCATAAGCAAAAAAAAACAACCTACGGAATGGGAGAAAATTTTTGCAAACAATGAAACCAACAAAGGCTTGATCTCCAGAATATATAAGCAGCTCATATGACTTAATAAGAAAAAAACAAACAACCCAATCCAAAAATGGGCAGAAGACCTAAACAAGCAATTCTCCAAGGAAGAAATACAAATGATCAATAGGCACATGAAAAAATGCTCAATATCACTAATTATCAGAGAAATGCAAATCAAAACTACAATGAGGTATCACCTCACACCAGTCAGAATGGCCGTCATTCAAAAATCCACAAATGACAAATGCTGGAGAGGCTGTGGAGAAAGGGGAACCCTCCTACACTGCTGGTGGGAATGCGG